GGAAATGCTCAGTCGTAAAGCCCATACCGAAAAGTGGTAACCCAAGTAAAGTAGATAACTACCGGCCGATCTGCCTGACTGCTATTTTGGCAAAGACGCTCTAGAAGATCGTGAAGAGGGGCCTTCTGCAGCTTCTCGAGTCGAAAAACCTGCTGACCTCCGCACAGCATGGTTTCATGAAAGATCGCTCGTGCATCACCAACCTACTGTTGACGAGGCACGAATGGTTACAAGCGCTGAACCAAGGCCAATCGGTCGACGTCATTTACATTGACTTCAGTAAGGCTTTTGACAAGGTTAACCATGCAGTGCTCCTTGACAGGCTGAGGATGTGCGGTGTTGGTGGTTCGCTGCACAAGTGGATCAGAAATTTCCTTGTTGATCGAAAGTGGAGGGTCAAGGTGGACAACCATCTAACTGACTGGTATCCATCGAGCAGCGGCGTGCCCCAGGGCACTGTACTGGGGCCGATATTGTTTCTGATCCATGTAAACGATGTGCCTCAGCTACTCCAATCATCTTGTACGTTGTTCGCAGATGACTTGAAGGTGTGGAAAGTAATCCGCGCACTCAATGATTGTGATTTACTTCAGCAAGATCTCGACCGCCTCTCGACATGATCTACAGTGGTTAACCTTCCGATCAACCCTACCAAGTCGCAATTTATGAGGTTGGGTAAGTGTGAGAACAGCCGAACGTACACAGTGGCTGGTCAACCGTTGCATCCCGCGCCTTTCGTGCGCGACCTCGGTGTGATCTCACGCTGCGACCTAAAGTCCATTGACAACACGAATAGGCTGTACCAAAACAGCCTACGGATGCTTTGGGTGCTCAGGCGCAGCTTCAGCACTTGGTCCGAAGAGATTGCCACTCGTCTCTTCGTCTCGATAATACGACCAATGCTAGAGTACGGCTCTCACGCGTATTGTCTCATCACCCTGGGCGAGGTAGAAAAGCTTGAACAGGTGCAGCATGTAGCCACCAGGCTGATTCCCAACTTACGAGGTATGCCATACGAAGACCGATGTAAGAAACTAGGGCTGTACACCTTAGCTTATCGTCGGCCGAGGGTTGACCTCATCATGACGCACCGGATATTACATCTGAGTGATTACCCCATCTTGAGATAACTGCTTCATCTGCGCACACCAAGCTGCACGCAAGGACACCGGTATAAACTTATCGTGCCGGAGCTGTAGCGGGTCGCTCACCAACTCTGTTTCGAACGCAGAGTGGTGAATGTCTGGAACGACCTACCGCAGCACATAGTAGAGGTGAACTCAGTGTCCGAAATTAAGAAGCTCCTAGACAAATACTTTGCAGAGACAAAATATAGAGAGCGTAACGATAAATAAGGAGTAGATGTCCAAGAGCGACGAATGATGCAGCTACACAGAGAAAGCTCTACTCGCTGCTTCGAACCAGTATTCAGTATGCAAATGCACTGTTTGCTCCTATTATGTTTGATCCGGGAATATTTGTCTGCCGATTGGTGAATTCAGACGTCATTCAAATCTTCAACATTATTTTAAACAACTGGGCAGTAAGGTGTAGTAAATAATAGCAAAAAGTGAAACCACCACCAACACTCGTCTGCGCGATTATCACCATTTTCACAGTGCTCTCCTCCCTAGTGTTATAGTCACACGGTAATCTAGTGTGATGCACTCCTCATTCCCACGCAAACTACAATAATCAGTAGTTTGTGTGGGAGTAAGGAAGCGCGAGGAAATCAGAGAAATCGTGGGTTGTCGCGGACGAAGGACGCTTGGTGCGCAAATCAACTGTCGCTGACGCTTTGTGAAGGGGTGCAGCGGAACGGAGAGTCAGAAAGATGCAACGAAGAAAGTGCGCGAATGGGACTGTTCTTATGTTCGAAATGTTAAAATATCTAAACATGCTTTCTGTAAGACATAATTCGTCTGCACCACGTTTTCTCAACGTTTGGTGTGGTGACCAACCAGAGGTGGAACATAAAGATCCCTCGGTTTCTGGTGGACTTCGAAGACGTCACGAAGGCAGTCAGACTGAAGCGAAAACGAGCGAAGTTGGTTTCACTGCGGAGTCTCCTCGAAAACTATGACAATTCCGGAGGAGGCGCGATGGGGCCTTTTCAAGTTAGAATAGGCCCTTACGAAGGAGACGCTAATCGGGAGGTTCGACAGCCTGGCCGATCGCCAGGATGCGACACGGCGATTCAATGCAGCCAGGCTTTTAGTTTGAGCGGGCCCGTTCTTCTTTGCGTCCACCTCAGTGAGTTGCTGGACCGAGCGCTGTCTGATTTGGACAACGCGTCAAAACAGCAATTGTTAGTGGAGTAGTTTCATGACAGTCTATCTCCGAAGATGGCCGATCGGCTTCGGATTATGAATGCCACTCAGAGAACTTGCGTTGCAGAGCTCGTCTGAGTGACAAGATAGTTTGCACATAGGACATTGAGAGCGGAAGACCAGAAAGAAGAGGAGCGACTGGACAGGCTAGAGGATAGGCTAGAACAGATTACGCAAGACATCGGAACGCTTCGAATTCCCTATTAGAAGACTCGGCGAAAAGAACGATATCTCCTTTTTCGGGCAACTGGGGCACCGAAAACGACAATGTACATCAAATTGTAATACCTGTGTACTAACTGGAGGCTGTGAGCCGTAGTTTTTGTTCCGGGGAGTGCATACTTGGGGCGTTGAACCAGTGTGCGATGGTAGAAGTGAATAAGAAAACAGAGGCCATCTTCAACCTGAAATAAGAAAAGCTGATGACGATGACCCTATGATCTTAATCATGTACCAACTCTCATTGTCAACACTGCTTGGGCCAAGAATGTCGCACGATTCTGCAAATGGACTGTGAAAACTGTTCGTTTCCATGTGCCAGATAAATGGGACTCGTTATTCTTTCTGGTAATACCATTAAACTTTACCATTTCACCCGAGTCATCGAAGGTATCCTCGATCTGGTATGAATGAAACAATATGCAAAGCGGGTATCTCCTTACTCTGTAATCTTCAACAACGGTTGGATCAACGGGCTGGACATTTGGGCTCACAGCTTTGCTGGCCACCAGCTCTATATACTGCCTATGGAGCGCGCACTGGTGACGAGCAGTCTATCCGTACTGCGTGCTCTGTGTACTCTGACCTCGAATGGGGTTATGGCTTAAGACAAGCCTTTACCTTTCTTTGTCGACAAGGATGCCCTATCTCCCATTTTTTTCCAACTTTGCCACTAAAGATGCCCTGAGAAATGTCCTGGAAGCTTTGTTGAGCTCTGGCGTTGAGCGCTTAGGTAGTCGAATCGTTGGTCTGCATTGCTCTGGTAACATCGTCTTGCTGAGTGACTTACCACAGGCTGTCCACCTTGCGCTTAACCGCTTGGCAATTGAGACACCAAATTGTAGCACGTGCTTTTCTTTATTCAGGTGCAAAGCTCTCTTTTAAGATTGACATTGGCCTGTGTCTGCTGTCACCCTTGGTAGTGAGACACTGGATGTTATAGATAATTTTGTCTACTTGAGAAGCTGTACCACTGCATTTGGGGCTGTTGAGTGGAGATTTCGATGCACATGTCAGGTGCCTCAGTTTCTAGGCTAGGGCATTTGCGGCGCCGCTACGATATCCATCTATATCAGAGGGTGGGTTTATTTAGCACCTGTCCGCACTGTCTTGTTGTACGGATGCTCACCTCGTTTGCTCGTAACATTAATCTACGCCGACTGTCCCTTCTTCGGGCGCTGTAACTTGCGTACCATTGCCCTTGTGTGATGACTGGACCACGTGAAAATTAGAAAGCCTGTCTTAGCAAGAGGCAGCCTCTCGCTGAAGAATTGCGGCAATTGCTGTGGCTTGGACATGTGTTGTATCTACCCGTTTGGCGTTTTCCGGATTGTCTGTTTGTTGGAGGAGCAGGAGGTGCGGTGGGCAACCTAAAACTTGGAGATGCTACATGAAAAAGCTAACATAACAGTTGTTCTCGGCTCCCTGGTCGAGGTCCCAGTAATAATAATAATGTGTCAGCTGTACGCCGTAACGGCGCTTCGCTGCCGGGCAACCACCACCAGTCGCTCGCGGGCTGTGTATACCGCGAGGACGCCCACCCCTACGCGGATTCGAACCGGTGACCTTATGGTTGCAAAGCAAACGTACCGGCAACTCGGCCACCGGCCGAGTGTTGCTGCTTGGGAGCGTCGGAAGTCATGGCTGAAATCGAAGGCAGTGACGAACACGTATTTCGACGTGTTGCGGGGATTCCCCTTCTCTTTTCGGATAAATCATTCAAGTAAACACAATATTGTGAGCGCGAAACTGAACAAGATGTTCTCTTTCTGCTTATTACAATCATGTTTTCCTATTTTGTCATGATTACGATTTCACAATATCTGTATCCTTATATCTGTATGTATATATATACCACTTTCTTTGACTTAAATGATTCTGTCCTTATACTGTATATACCATGCCAATTTTGCGTTTATTTTCCTTCAATGTGGACATGGTTTCTGTTTGTCAAAACCCTCCATATCGATTACAGACTCCAGGATACTGCTAATCTTTGCTAAAGTGACGAAGTGCACGGTCCACATGACTGTGCTAGGCTAAGAGATTGGTTCCATCCCGTGTGGGGCGGTCCAGCCACCGCCTTGTGTACGTCTGGTACTCCTGATTCCCAAGTTAGATGGACAGCAATTCTACTTCTGTGTATGTTGAAGGAGTGTGGACCGGCTCCGTTGATGCAACGTGACTCCCGTCTTCATACTTGTTCTTATTCCTCCAGGTTTACACCGGACATGGGGTGTGTGGATGGAGCTGTGCGTGGTAAAACGCAAGCCGCCCATAGTCTCTCTGTAGACACAGGTGTCTTGTTGCTGTCCCTATTAGGGCCACAGTGACAGATAAATTCTCAGCCTGATGCCGCTAAATATATATATATATATACCAGTTTAACTTTAAACGCACGAGGTATTCTTTCTTTTGACTTTGCATTATGTTCTCTTTTAAATCGTACAGATGAGTATGATGACAGCTACGATATCCGCGAAGGAATTGTTGATGAGGTGCACTCCGATGAGCAGTCGAGATCGTTGCCCTTCACCACTAATGTGGCCGCCTGTGATCCTAGCAACACTGGCTCATCCCTTCGCACAGATGCGAACCAAGTAAGCATGAACCACGACCATGTCATTCTTAACCACTTCCTTGCGTTCTGGCGACGTAGCAGTTGTCGTCTGAGTTGTTCGATGTTTCCCCTTGTCCGTTTTGACGTACTTTCTAGTTTCCACCTTCACTATTCTCTGTTACTTCGGGGTACCATTTACATGTATTATTCTATTCCCCATACCCTGGTGAAATCTCGCTCCTCTTAGCGAGCTGGCATTTGCACAATGCATCTGCCTGACGTTGCTATGGAGCACACTCGTTGTGTATCACGTTACTCGACGAACCATTTGGAATTTCACATTTAATTAAGTGTTCGGTTTTTGAGTTACGTCCACTCGGCAAAGCTCATAGGATCGAACTACAAAATATCCTTGTTAGGTTGGTGTAGCAAGTAGGAAATCATTAGTCGATCCACTCCAAACTTGTTGCTTCTATGACGCCATTTCCTTGTGTTCGCCATGTTGTTGGCTTGCCTTCCCCAATGTGAATTTTTAGTCCTCCTCACCAACGATAGTTTGGTGGAAATTTATTATTCTCTGGTTGTTTGCTTTCTGACATCACAAGATGATATTTGTCGGCCTCCAGACACATTTACTTTATTGATTAACCAGCCTTTTTATCTAGGTCTCTAACTTTTACCTCCACTTTGGTATGTAGTTTCTTGTTTTATTTCGTATGGCACAATTGGTCCAATCTTTTCTTTACTACCTCTGAGAGTTTTCACATTTTTATACTTGTCCCGCTTACTCACTTCCAGCGTCAAACGGTGTTGCGAATCGAGAACCCTGAAAGTGTACGTCAACGTCAAGAAGAATTCAAAATAGCACGCCAGGTGAATCCCTTTCTGACTGAAGCCCTGTTTAGTCAATATATTATTTTTTGTACCCCAATTTATGACGCGGCGTTGCAAGTTTGGGGATGATAGCCAAGAGGCTTTATTGCCCCCTGCTGACAACTGTAAGTGCTGCATTCTGTTTCCACGACCGGTCGTATCACCAGTTGGAAATAGATCATTGTCCTGATCACTTGCCTCAGTTGTCTGAATTGCATCATTGGCTGAAAAAATCGTATTCCATAGCATGGTGATCTCCGTTTACGTATGTTACCGTGTAGCCTGCAGTTTGCTTTCGCGCGACGACCGGAGGAGTTCTAGGTAACATACTGCCACAAATACGTTTGCTACTCTTATACTTGCATTTTGTGTGCTCCACAATTCCATCAGATCAGATTTCTCATTGTGTATGCCAGCACTCATCGGTATGTAACTTGACAATACGCCACCTATTCTTTTGCACGATTTTCATATTTTTGGTGGTGCGCTGTCTGTCTGAAATTCCCCCTAAAATTGCCGTAATTATCATCCTGACATGTTACCTCAGGATGATGTTTTCTCCCTTGGCACATGTTTGCACTATCCGAACTTTTCGACTTACTTCCCATTGTGCCATAGGCTTAGTCAGGAGCGGCGAGCTTGGACGGCCTTAGCGGGAAACTCACCAAATGATTTAGTGGCGTCCATGCTGTTGCATTATGTGATTTTTCAAGTGGGTGTTAATGACCATGCAGCTACCAGCTATGGTGGTGACTGCGAGATGTGTAATAGCTTGAATGATGAGCACTGGAGATCCATCTGCTTCATTCGGTAGATGCAAGCACGATGCTTACTATGTCATTTCTCCTACAACGAACTGATTGGCACGTGTTCCTCAGACCAACTGGCGAGACTTCCACGCAACACCCGACTAGGTTGCTCGCCTACCCCGCAATATTCCAACACTGTTTTACCCAGCTTTTGATTCCCTGCTGCTAATTCCCAATGTGATCCATCAAACGTCGTTTGGAGCCTGGTCTAGACACCATCTTGTCATAACCTTGTTAGATGTTCTTATGTATTTTCATACCACTGGAGTCTGATGTCGTACCACGCAGACCTCGTGTAGATAGTATTTTCCTCGCTCTATGATCCTGATTGTTTCTCCTGGTTGCGTTTCTGGACCTTGTAAATACGATCCACCCAACTGGCATATTTCAAACTGTGAACAGCGCTCGCCCCGTTCTATCTTCACATCCACTTTCTTGCCGCTGTTATGCGGATAAATATTAGGATTTCCCCTGTTTCCTTTTCCGCACTGGGCCTATGTTTTCCGTTCCCTTAAGTTTTACCTACAAAAGTCGATAATGAAGGGTTTCTATGACACCGGTTTACTTACTAGCGCTTTAGCCATAGCGAACGGATATCGCGTCAACTGTAAATCTTTGAGTACGTTCGTCGCGACTAATATCAGAACGGCAGCCGCCACACATCCAGTAAAGCGCCGGACGACCGTTTCATTCTCTTGGAAATCGTCAGTAGCGCGCACCCGCCGAGCCCATGACCTGACTCTCACCAGCCAGCGACTTATGCCACCGAATGATGAGTGACGCCGGTGGACTGCTATGACTGATATCCAGCTGCGAAATGGCGCGGCTCATCCAGGTCCAAATAGGACCAAACGGCCTTCTAGCGCTTTCCTGGATGCATGGTGGCTGTCTGGCTGATTCTAGCTGCGACAAATCTTCCCAATAACATAAAAAATGCACCTATTACTCACTAATGATTGTAACTTTGTTTTCGGCAACAATCTACTTTCATTGCGTCTTGTAGAGCAACTCTTAGCGCTTCTTTGTCGTTGTCGTAGTTTTGCGTTTTCGTTGACTGTATCGTCTACTGGTTACGTGTGGGCTGGGGAGCTATCCTCGCGCTTACTGTACCTTGCTACCGGTTCTCATGCGCTTGGCTCATGGGACCACCGTGAGGCACTCGCCATCGTGCTACATTAAGCCCCCTTTCCCAGCAACAACTTCGTTCTCCGCTCGACGCTTAAGCTTGCTTCTACCTTATTGAGATTTTAACTGTGTTTTGTTGCTTATCAGTTGCTTGCAGATTGTTTTTGATTTGATGATCCGCGGTCTGGATCTACTTACTGATTTTTTCACACGTGCCTCTAACCGTACTTTTGAGGGCTCTCCACTATCCTGCTTCCTTTCACTCGACACTTCGTTTCACTCACCAACGATTACGAGGCATTACTTTTGAATTTCATTGATTTTCCTTTTTTCTAGAATCTATCCTGTTCCATACTAGTACTCATGTAAGCTTCTCGGTCAGAAGCGCGTAACTCGTCTGTCTGAGTTGGCGATAGTCGTGAATGCTCGTCCACAAATGTGTATTTGGGTGAATCCTGCAACCACAAGATTCCAAGGCTAGTTTGGTGGACGGGTAACATATGTTCTGCTTATTGTTATTTAGTTTTGTCAATGCGCACTAATCAAGTGACGATATCGGCAATCCACGCAGTTATTTGGCCTTCGATTGTCTTCATTTTTAATTGCCCAAAGGCGTCAGCCTGTTGGGCCACTCCTGTATGATTGTCAATAAGTCTACCTTAGTAGTTTGCATGCTGGTAGCGCACGTCAAAAATTGCAGGGAACAAATACGTGTTAGTACGTTTACCATCATTCCACTTTGTGCTATCCGAAAGATTTACTAACATCTTATTCAACATTTTTGCACAGGCTGAGCACCGTAAACACATGAAGCCGCGTAATCCTCGTCCACTTCCCGTGATGCCTCAACCTGTACCGTCTGGAACTAATCGAGAAGTGCCTTTTGTGGCTGGTTCACTCTCTAAAGTCGTTTCAGATGACTTCCTTAGCATTTATGAAGTTCCTAATCACGACGCGTCTAGCGCTAACGAGTCCACAGTGACGTCCGATTCGCTGTTCCGGTGCATCGAAGGCAGCGATCGTCACTATCGTGGTATCCACAAGGCACGCTTGGGAAACCATAATAGGCGCTGGCTGGCGGACAGAAAGCGCCGGTTTTAATCAAAACCAACACTGCACAAGATTGTTGTATCCGCATATTTGTCGATTACATTGTAGTGTGTGAATACATCCCTTGTTTTCGATTAAAGTTCATTTTGGTACTGTATTGATTTCGTCCACTCGACTTATTTGACCCATCCCTTTACGAATCCTGAGGACACACACAAAGGTGCTACCATCTCAATGAGTTCAGGTCGTGTAGGATAGCGAACAGCAGCGAGTGAATTTGATTTGGCTAACAAACTGGACACAACCGTCACAGCGTTATACTTTAGGTCCGTCATGAGTGAAATCACCGAAACGTCCAGCAGTCATCCATAGGTCTGTAGTTCGTCTCCATTGATTTAAACCGAGTGGCGTGTTCTCGTTAAATTCCTCAGCATCTCAAACAAAATAACTTATAGAAGTGCATGAACATAAATGCGAAACGATATGTAAAACGGAAACGACAAAATGATTTATGTGGCACACTTTCAAAGTGTCAGATAACGATTGAGAATGACATTATTTAATAACATATGTATGCAATTTGTACACAGCATAATGTCAAACGAGAGACAGCCAAGCGTTATACTGCGCATATGTATTTGGCTTTCATGTAGAATTCGGATGGAACTCATCTACAGACACGGGAACTAACAGATCCTTATAATTATGATAATCAGCACGGGATATTGCTATGAGGTAAGCAGAAAGGTGTCCAGCCAATATAGTGACTGAAGATGCGGGTTATAAACCTCGACGCAGCAGTTATACAACCGTGGACTGAGGGAATAACGGTATATGCGTGTGATGTTGCGGTCCTCAGGCCCCAATGTCAACACCGAATAATGTTCCCAAGAGCAGTTAACCTCGAACTACGCCGCAAACGATCACCATGGAGGATCGCTCAGTCATGTACTGTGGGGAATAGGAGCTGAAGGCGGATAGTTTTGAGTAGTTACCTTTGTGGCAACGCGTGTGAACATAGCTCGTTGATGATTATATCACGACATAAACTGGACAAAAGCGTAGATGGGAATGCGGTGCAGCATTCCTTTTTGCTTGAAGTCCTTCCTGACTAAGGCTGCCTCATTCAACTAGTGGATGAAATATGCAGCTATAAAAATCGTCGCCTCTTCATCTCTCATGGGGTTCGAGTTGCGTCATCTGTCACATGCGCTTGTAACCGTTTCCCTTACTGCGTTCCTGTTTTTTTGTTTTTATCGATCTGGGACCTGTTTCGTGGGCTGATTCATTTTTTCTACCAACCCCAATGTTTGATTTCGCGTATACTTAGGGGACGCCATCCACTATTCACCAAAGCGATTTGACGCAAGTTATGTAACAATGGTATAATGCGGCTAAAAAACCAAGACTTGACAGGCCCCATGGGATGATTTATGCCAAGTACGTAATTTAAAGAACTCAAGTTACACTAAAATGAAACGCGCAGATGTGGACTCGCCGTGTTATCTACGTTAATACACTCGTATATCCGCTTACCCCGATTGCGTGGATGTTGATGAGCACAATGTTTATCTACGCTTTGTCGTCACTCGATTAGCAGAAACCAAATCAAATAGTGCAATGCATCGTCCAGCCGTTTATTTTAATAATTAGCGTAGGTGTGCAAGTGTGTTTCACGGTTAACGAACTCGAAGCGAAAAATAATTCCGGCAGCATTCCGGCCGACTGCATTAGGTGGCCAGTTTCAACTGGGAACCTCAATTTTGTGTTGCGCCTATGTTCCAGGAATTGATGGCTAGCGTGACCGAGGTTTTACAGGATTTGTACGCCATAATGAGGTCACCGCGTTGACGGCGATAACTTCCGCTGTACACTCCTAAAGTTTTCAGTCGCAAATAGTATAGCAGGTGTAACAATTCCTACTAATTTTGGTTTCCTTTCACTCTGGGGTCCCCAGTGCAACCAGGTCGCGTTTTAACCAGGGTCGCCGGGTCTGAATCGCGTACTCTGCATAGGGTCTCACGCGCATTGAGCATTTAAACGAAGACGGAGGAGTCGAATGCTCTCGGTAAGATACAGCACGTAGGTTCGCGGTTTTTGGCGCCTTCAAGGACTGCGCCTAACAGCTGAGGTTGTTTTGCATCACCACCCCAAGGTCGCGATCCTTTGAGGCGTTCTTCAAGATGTGGTCTCCAAGCTTATATGCGTTAATGGGCTTGCGTCGTACATGTGCAGTTTTGCACTTGTTTGCCTTAAACAGAAGTGGATTTGCCTTTCGCCATTAAGAAGCACCGTCTACGTCCCACTGCTGCATATCGTGATCCTTCTGACTGCCAAATGCCCGCGGTATCTTGATCTCATCGGCACAAAGCAAGAAACTTTACTCGACAAGCGCGAGGTCGTTGATGAACACCAAGTGTAAGCGCTGTCCCTACACTGATCCTTGCGGAACACCGCAGCCCACATCAATGGGATCAGAAGTTGCGGCCCGAACCGAAAGCCGCCGCTGATGGGGGAATATTTGATCCATCCGAGATAAGGTTCCCGATCCCATACGTTTGCAGCTATTGGAAAAGAATGCGGTGATCTAATCTGTCAAAGGTCGTAGAAAATTCCAGGTGGATGATATCAGTGGCGGTCCCACTATCGGCTATTTCGGTCCAACTGCCATGCGCAATCAGTAGATTGACAGATATTGACATAATCCGTGTTATTCTGGTGCTATGGTGTAAGACCTTTCGAGGTAGCCCATGATGGACTCTATCAGGTTTGAGATCATCTGGAGGAGAATCACTGGACGATAGTTGGCTGGCTGAGAACGGCTACCACCTTTTAAAATCATGCTAACTATACCCTTCTTCCACACGCTGGAAACCTGCTGCTTATCCAGACATCTTTGGAAAAATTGAGTTAATGACCCAGTTCTCCTCATAGCTGTCAACCGCAGTGCCTTCGGGATAATGTTGTCAACCCTGGGGGAATTATCGGTGCGTAACCATAGCAGCTTCCTCAAAACGGACACCGAACTGAGTGACATGTGCAAATACTGGCGTCTGGAGATACGAAACTGGTATGTGACACGCTGATGGCTCGTCGGAATATTTGAGTATATTGTAGCGGTAAAACGTTGGCTGTATCCTCGGCGGTTTGCGCCCATACATTTGTTGCGATGAGTGAGGAACACCACGTTTCCCAATCCCGAAGCTGTTCACATGTTTGTAGAGAAGCTGGTTGTTAGCACAAAGCCTTTCTGCTAGGCTCTACTTGTGTAAGAATTTGTCACGACGGACAAGTGTGGCATAATGATGAAGATGCAGTAAATATTTGCCTCAGCTGTCGTTCTGTAGACTTACCACACTACGTCCATTACTGCCATGCATTTTCGGGTTTTCCTCCGAAGAAGTGTAGGCGCTCTTGCCGAACAAAGGAGTCTGTTTACCGATACTGATTTAATCAAATCACTGGACTTGCCAGCAAGCTCCGTCCGGGCAATATCAATGGAGCAGTCGTCTGAAAACTCCCTGATTGCATCTGCAACAAGTTCTGTCAGTATGTCGTAGTATCTAATTGTAACAAGTTACTTTGCTCTTGCGGATATTCCGCATAACACACAACCGTATTGCTACGCCATCGCTCAGCCCCAGAGAACTCTCCATTTTCGGTTTCTCTATCATGCGATCTGATGATGATGGCTGCACTTTTCGCGACTGGCAATACTGTGTCAATGGCTCAAGGTATTTACGGTGTTAGTATTGCCCTCAGCAAACAAGCTGAAGGCAGTCTGCTCGACTGGATGCCGTTGAATAGCCGCATGTGTGCAACTCAACTTCGAACCTCTATTGGAGTTAATATACAGCATCTGAAGACTAGATGCTTTTCATCGCCTCAGTTTATGTCTTTACTGAATGTAGTTCAGAGACTACGAATGTGTAGCGCCCAAAAAGATAACTCTTATCTTTCGTGTACAATTTACTTGTTGACCGATTGTACATTACTCCTTCTTGTTTTAATCTTACAACCGGCTCGACACACAACTGTCTTGTAAGTTCCCGCGCTCACGTGTACGCTCTTGCCTCGCTTCATCCGTCCGTTTCTTGTTGTAGTCCCATCGAATACAGTCCGCTGTGTCCGACTCAAATTGCCTTCTGATATCCGCGCTTAATTCCGCGCACCGTCTCGGACTAGTATTAACTAGTCCTACAAATTGGTGACCCCGATTCGCACGCGCGAATTCAACATTTTTTCTCGTTTGTATTTTTTGGTGAGTTCGTTCCTTTTTCTCGATTATATACCTATATTCATTTGTTTCTTGCGTAATTTTGGTACTTTTATCGTATTTTGTTCGTTCTTTACCTTTCGACTCACATTCCGAGAGTTGCATCTGAGTCGTTTCACAGCGTAACCATGCTTCCTTTGGCTGTTCCAAGTTTCATGGAACACAGTCCAGAAGTTTGGTTTAAGATATTCGAGATCGAGCTAGAAAATAAGGGCATAACGGCGGACCGTCCAAGGTACAATCAGCTCGTCCCACGCCTTCCTCCGTCGGTAGTGACGCTGATTGAGGACATTCTACTCTGCCCATCGAATGAGGCAAAGTATGAAACGATGAAGCAAGCGATTTTGAAAGAGTTACGACCCAGCGCACGAACACGATTTGAGCAGCTCAATGGTCTCAAGCTTGGAGATCGCAAGCCGTCGACATTGCTCCGCGAACTTCAGCGCATCGCTGGTCCCTTATTCTTGAGCGAAGAAGGGATAAAGGAGCTGTGGTTTGCACGTCTCCCAGAGCCATTGCCGGTAATGCTGTCCATGTTTATAGATGCACCCTTGAAAGACTTAGCTACCAAGGCAGACGCTGCGTTCGAACGTTTTCCGCAGCAGACGACCAGTAACTCCGGTGACGTATTCTCACCGATGAAAACCGAATCTAATGTTTGTTCCCAGTCGCTAGACCTATCTGACTCTAGAGATGAGGAAATTGCGCTACTTCGCAGCAGGATAGCAGCAATGAAGGCTTCGAAGCAGCGTGTGCCACGGTCAAATGCTGACCA